GCAAGAAAATGCAGAATTTTGTTAATTAATTATACAAAATAAAACATAATTTTATTTAATTGCTAGAAATAAATAAAATATACTATTTCTACTAGCTTTAGTTAAGCTAATGAAACATAAAAGTTTGTTTTAGTGAGGGAATTAGGATCAGAAAAGAACTAGTCCACTTATGTGTATAAAGTTTTCTGACAATCAATCTGTCAAATTCCATATAAACAATACTAAACTTAAACTTAGCGTAATACTAAACTTAACTTAGCGTAATATTAAAAATGTAATATTTATTATTACATTAATAAACATAATCTCTTTTAGTTTTAAATTTTTTTGCTTTTAAATAAACACATGTGTCTGCTTTTCAGAATTGTCATTATTTTATGACCAACTTCTTGTTTTAGTAAAATTTTGTAAAAAGTTTCTAAAACAATGGTCAAACTTTTTGCTTTGAAAAATGTTATGAGTTTTAAGTAAAAATAAGTAATAATGTTAAATAAACATTATTAGGCTTTGAAACACTTAAAAAAATGTGTAATAATACTAAAAATGTTATAAAGAATCATTTAAAATTCTGCTCGGAAAGTTGACAGTTTAAAGTAATAAAAGAAAAATTCTTAAAAAAAATAAATATTTAATGAAGAAATTATATTTTTTTTGTAAGGAGTAATAATAAATATTAAGTAGAATTAATAACTGAAATGATAGTTACAAAGAAAGTTATTGTTTTAAAATGTTCTTTGATAAATGGCCATTTTAGAACAGAGCTAAGCCAAGAGTTGTCTTATTCTCTGGCTTTTACACTTGCAATAGCTTTTAAACGTATGAAAAGTTAACAAAATCAACTAGAAAGCTTATTTGCCGTTATCTGTAAAAATCTTTATAAACAGCTTAAAAACGACACTTTTAAACTTTAGTTTTAAATTAAAAGAACTCTTTTGTTCTAAACCAGGCATCGGCAGAGAATAACAAATGAGATCTTTAGCAGGTTTTGTCTGTTTTCTAAACATAAACTGGTCATCTATTGACTAGTGTATGTAATACTATTTTGCCAAGATTGTTTAGAATAGAGCTAAGCAAAGAGCTCTCTCATTTTTTGGCTTTAACACTTTAAACTCTTAAATGTATAAAAAACAAACAAAAACAATCAGAGAGCTCATTTGCCGTAGTCTGATTTAGTAAGAGAAATGTAAACAATCAGTGTTATTCAATGCAAATTCATAATTGTCGTAATCTCTTGCCAAATTTATCATTTATTAAGAGTAATTTGCTATAGTTTAGAGCCCTGATCGGCAAAGAGCTTTGTTAAGAGCTTTCCATATGTATAAAATTTTTATAAAAATGTATAAAAATCTGTAAAAATCAGTAAGAGATCTTATTTTTTACTCTCTGTCGATGTAGGGTTTACAGCATAAATAGACAAAGAGCTTTGTTGTTCTAGACCGAGCATCGTTAATATACTAGTATATAGACCAGTCCATAGAATAGTTTGTAGGCTTATCAATAGACTAATCCATAGACTAGTCAATAGACTAATCCACAGAGCAGACTAGACCAACCGATAGACTAGTCCATAAACTAACCAATAGATTAATTCCAAGGCTAGTCGTTAGAAAAATCAAAGTCGAAAATTAAATAACTAGTCCCTACAATAATTCATACATTAGTCCATAGACTAACTAGACCAGTCCACAGACCAGATTTACCATTAGACCAGTCAATAAACTAGTCAATAGACTAGTCCATGGGCTAGTGGATAAACAATAAACTAGTCCATAGACTGAGCCATACACTAATTCATAGATTAGTCCTAAGATTAAGCAATAGTCAATAGATTAGAATATAGACTATATGAAAGAATAGTCATGAGACTCGTTCAGAGCCTAAACTAACTAATAGTCTGGCCAATAAACTAGTTAATAGACTAGTCCATGCACTAGTTTATAGACAAATCCAAAGCTAGTTGATGGACCAGTCTAAAGTGTACTAAATGCACTAGTCAATACAAAAATTCATAGATTAGTCCATAGATTAACCATTAAGCTAGTTAGTAGATTAGACTTATCCATATAGTCCACATACTAGACTTACCAATACAACAGCTAATAAACTACTCAATAGAATAGTCCACAGGCTTGTGAATAAACAAATCAATAGACAAGTCCATAGACTAAACAATAAACTAGACAATAGACCAGTATATGGGTTGGTCGATAGACAAATCAATAGGCTGATCCATATACTAATCCATAGATTAGTCCAAAAACTAATCAATAAACTAGTCAATGGGTAAGTATATATACTAGTCAATAGACTAATCCATAGAGTAGGCATAAGGCTTGTTCAAAGACTAGAGTAACGAATAGTCTAGTTAATAAACTAGTCAATAGGCTGGTCCATGAGCTAGTTGAGGTATAAATCAATAGCCTAGACCATAATTCATAGACTGGTCCATATTCTAAACCATAGACTAATCAATAAACTAGTCAATAGTCTAGTCCATGGGTTAGTCGACAGCGAATCAAAAGCGTAGTCCTCAGTATAGTCGATAGACAAATCAATGGGCTAGTTCATAGTGTGATCAATACATTAGTCCATAAAATGATCCATACACTAATCCATAGATTAGTCCAAAGACTAACTAATAAACTAGTAAGTTGATTAGTACATAGAGTAGTCATTAGACTCGTTCAAAAACTAGACTAACTAGTAGTCTAGTCAATATACAAGTCCATGCGCTAGTTGAATAGACAAATCAATGGACTAGCTCATAGACTGGTCCATATATTAATCCATAGACTAGGTAATATAATAGTCAATAGACTAGTCCATCGAGTCGACTAGCCCGACCGAGTATCAAAAGAGTAATCCACAGTCTACTAAATAGACTAGTCCATAGTTTTGTCCATGGATTATTCTAAAGATTAGTTTATTGACTAGTGTATTGATTAGACCATAGACTAGTCTAGTCACTAGACTATCTATGAACTATACTATAGACTAATCAATTGACTAGACCAATGGTTCCCAAAAGGGGGTCCGCGGACCCCTAGTGGTCCGTAGCAAAATCCTAGGGGGTCCGCGAAGACGAACGAAAAAAATCATGAATAAAAAATATTCTCTATATGTTAGAAAATATTAAAAATATCTCCAAATTTTTCATAAATACTAGAATACACAATTTTTACTCAATAATCCCAGATTTGTTGGTGACTTTTTGAATTTTATTGTTTCGGTCGTTTATCAGGATGAAGCTAGGCCCTACAAATTTATTGTTTCACTTTTATAAAGTAAAGTGTTACGTGATTTCTAATATTTTTAAATATATATGTATCGAAATAAATGTTTTTATATCAGACGGATAATGATTTGCCTTAGAATTAAATACTGATACTGGTATCCCGGAATATGAAGTTAGGTCACATTTCATAATATTTTTTTTAAATTGTAATCAAAAGTGTTAATCTAGTTAATTTTAAATATAAATATTCCATTCCGACGTGAAAAACTGATTTTAATTTCATTTTGTTGTCCAATATTATTAAATCAACATCAGAAAATTCATAGCGTTTTGCGTAAATAGTCAAAACCACGCAGAAAAATAATTCGTAGGTATTTTAAAATTCAAATTTAAGATCCAAATTCACAGTACATTCGCAAAGAGTTCAGGTCATATTTTATGTGGGTAACGCATTCCGCAACAACATCGAAGAAGTCTAACTTTCACATATTTTCCTGAAAACGTAGCTTACATACTCAGCTCACTCCTATGCAATCGCAAACAAATTTAGAAACATGACTCTTTAAGCACATGTCGACAATACTTTATAAAGAAACCTTTTCGCTACCTTGACGAGAAATGAACATGAAAGCTCTCACGATCATAAAATTAAACAACATGTTAGAAGTCATTCTATATTTAAAGCCATCCAACTGAAATCATCTCCGAAATACTAAATATTCTCAATGTACGGGAATATTTTATAGGGTTTATGGACCAGGACTAAGACACTTTTCGGATGAACAATTATTTATAACAATAAGATATCAAAATATGTATGGGGGTCCGTGAAATTAAATAAATTCCTCAAGGGGTCCGCGAAGTAAAAAACGGTGGGAACCGCTGGACTAGACTATTGACAGTCTATTGAACACTCTATAGTCTAGTTTAAGGATTAATCTATGTATTAACTCTTTTGTGAACAGGTCTATATACAAAAAAGTATTTAATCACCTTTAAAGCCAATAGCAGTGAAAGTTTTGTTCTCTTTGGAATTTTCATTCTACTCAAAGGAAAAGATCGCTATCGTCAACTTGCTGTGTACAATTCATTCACAATAGTAGATTTTATATGCAACAGCTGTTCATTGTTTACAAAATTCCATCAACGGAAATTACTGTAGTACTTGATTGTATTATGACTATAACAGGCGTTACTCTACTGCAAAAAGAGAATTTTCGAATATTTAAGTTAATTTTTCACTTAAAGTCATAGTATTTGTAAGATTTTCATTACTTTTAGTAATTGTTTATTGAAAAATTAAAATTTCTTATTTAAAGTTTAATAAATTTTTTAATTAACATTATTTAATTAGTTATTTTAGTTTTGTTTATTTTATTGAGTATTTCATGTTATTTGTTGCGTTATTTTTTTGTTTAAAATTGTGATTTCTTTTGCTTTTGCTTTTTATAACATTTGTTTAAAATTGTTATTGTAGGCTTTTATTAAAAGTGTTATTGCATTTTGTTTTTCTTTTTTTGGGTTTTTATTACGTTGCTAGTTATTATTTGTTTATTAATATTATTATTATTTTTGTTGTTTTACTGCAGTTTTTTTATTATTATTATTATTATAACTGCAATTGTCATTAAATATTTTTGTTAATGTTAAGTAATATTTCCATTTTATTTGTTCGTTATGAAATTATGAAATATGTCACCAAAAATGTTGAAAATAATATTATAAATAAATAAAATTGTAATAAAATATTTACGAGACAACAAACCTTCTTTTTTTTAGGTTATAAACACATCCTGTGTTTAGATTAAAAACGTACCTGCAAATGAAAGAGAAAATTTAAAGTAATATTATTAATAAAGTTTTAATTTTAGTTAAATTTTTTATATAATTTTCTTTTTTTTTAACAAATAACACAATTTTTCATTTAAAAATATTTTTAACTTTGTGATTAATCTTACTCACAGCAACAATAATAATATTAAAAATTCCTTTATATATATTATATTGGTGTAGGTTATTTTTTTGTTTTTTTTATTTATCTTTAAAAAAAATAATTTTCCATTTTTATTGTTTTTATTTTTTTGTATTTTTTTGCCACCCCTTAATGATTTATTTGATATACAATACACATTTAAATATTTCTTTAGTTTTTTTTTGTAGTATTTTTTTCCAACTTGGTGGAAAAAAGAATTTACGATAAAACCCAACAAATTGCAAATTTATTTTAATGACTTTTTGTTTATTATTATTGTTGTTATTGTGACTGAACAATTGTTTTTTTTTTTTTTTTTTTTTTTTGAAATTGTCATATAGAAAATTTATGGCAAAATAAGCAAATTTTTTTGTTTTTATTTTTTAACAAAAAAAAGTAGATTTTAGAAAATATAATAACCAACATAATACACATTTGTAAGAATATTTCTTATATAAGAGAATTAAAAAAAAAAAAATAGAAAATGTTTTAAGTTTTAAAAGGAATCTAAGCCATAGTTTGGAAGTTATTTCTCAAAATCTTTACAATTTTGAGACTAACTTTGGCTCCCTATTACTAAGTCTATAACTAAAATTTTAAACACCCAAAACATTATTATGAAAGTTTAACTTGAGTTCTAATAATAATCCATATTTCAATGAAATCTAGTTAAAAGTTTAGAAGTTATATTAACTTTAAACTTTCACTAAAATGTAAATCAATTTTTAATATTCTTGCTTTTCTAGTATACTTTTTTCATTTTCTAAGAAAGTTTTTATCTCTTAAACTTTTCTTTTCCATAGTCTGGAGTAAATTTTGTTATATAGTCTACAAAATATTTAACCTTTTCTAAAAAATGTTAAAAAATTCTTAATTGAACTACAAACTAAATAAAAAATTCAAATTTAATTTTTAGTTTTGCCCAAAATACTTGGATTTTATTAATGTTTAGAATTTGTTTTTCATATTTAAAAAAAAATCTTTTTTGTACTTGAGATTTTTCTTAAAATTTATTACATTTCGTTTGTTTTTATTGAAAATTTTCAATAATAACTTTTTTCTATCTCATATTTAGCTTTTTATTTTATAGAATTTCATAACATTTTCCTTGATTTATTTTTAATAAATGACGCAATATTTAAAAAAAAAAAAATATTTTTGAAATTTTAACATATTTATGTAGTTTTGTAAACAAATTTACAACATGAAACAGAAAAAAAAATCTCAATAGAAACACTATCTTTAATATTCATAAACTCATATGCAGTTTTTCTTTACAGTCCAATGTAAAAACATTGTGCATTTGTTCAGTTGTAATTGGGCGCCTTGGCGTCGTTTTTGCTAAAAATATGAAATAAGTAAGGGGTTTCAGAGTTAATTATAAGAGATAAACTAGACTAGTCTATAGTTTATTCTATAGTTTAGATTACAGTCGAGTCTAGTTTATAGTCTAGTTTATAGTCTAGTCTATAGTCTAGTCTATAGTCTACTCTATAGTCTAGTCTATAGTCTAGTCTATAGCCTAATCTATAGTCTACTCTATAGTCTAGTCTATAGTCTAGACTATAGAGTAGTCTATAGTCTAGTCTAAAGTCTAGTCTATAGTCTAGTCTATAGTCTAGTCTATAGTCTAGTCTATAGTCTAGTCTATAGTCTAGTCTATAGTCTAGTCTATAGTCTAGTCTATAGTCTAGTCTATAGTCTAGTCTATAGTCTAGTCTATAGTCTAGTCTATAGTCTAGTCTATAGTCTAGTCTATAGTCTAGTCTATAGTCTAGTCTATAGTCTAGTCTATAGTCTAGTCTATAGTCTAGTCTATAGTCTAGTCTATAGTCTAGTCTATAGTCTAGTCTATAGTCTAGTCTATAGTCTAGTCTATAGTCTTGTCTATAGTCTACTCTATAGTCTAGTCTATAGTCTAGTCTATAGTCTAGTCCATAGTCTAGTCTATAGTCTAGTCTATAGTCTAGTCTATAGTCTAGACTATAGACTAGTCTATAGTCTAGTCTAGACTAGTCTATAGTGTAGTCTATAGTTTAGTCTATAGTCTAGTCTATAGTCTAGTCTATAGTCTAGTCTATAGTCTAGTCTATAGTCTAGTCTATAGTCTAGTCTATAGTCTAGTCTATAGTCTAGTCTATAGTCTAGTCTATAGTCTAGTCTATAGTCTAGTCTATAGTCTAGTCTATAGTCTAGTCTATAGTCTAGTCTATAGACTAGTCTATAGTCTAGTCTATAGTCTAGTCTATAGTCTAGTCTATAGTCTAAAGTATAGTCTATGGTCTAGTCAATGGTGTTAGTCTATAGTCTAGTCTATAGTGTAGTCTATAGTCTAATCTATAGTCTAGTCTATAGTCTAGTCTATAGTTTAGTCTATAGTCTAGTCAATGGTGTTAGTCTATAGTCTAGTTTATGGTCTAGTCTATAGTCTAGTCTATAGTCTAGTCAATGGTGTTAGTCTATAGTCAAGTCTACAGTCTATTCTACAGTCTAGACTAGAAAATTATTATAATACGTTAAATCCTAAAAAAATATCTTTTTGTTATAAGTTAATACTATTTCAAAATTTCAATTATCCATGCCTGGCTCGTAACCTATAACAGCTTTATGTTTAAAAATCTCTCTTAAAAAAAAAAAAAAAAAAAAAAAAAACACTTTTGAAAATTCCTTAAAAATCTCCAAACATGAAAAACCCTTAATTTTAAAAAAAATAATTACTCAAATATAAAACAACTTAAAATTTTAACAAAATTATTTTTCGTTTAAACCAACAATCAAACAAAAAGTTATGCAGTTTTTCGAAAACAAAAAAAAAAAAAAAAACTCATCATAAAAATAAACATTTGATTTTTGCATGTTTGGCGTCTATTAGACTTAACATTAGATGATGTCTGTTTATTTCTATTTCATTTTTTCATTTCTTTGAACTTTTGCTCTTTTTCTTTTTGGTTTATTTATATAGTTTTTTTCCTAATTTTCAAAATTTTCTTACTGTGTATTTACATTGCATATGTTTCGTTGGCGACATTTTTATTTTGGCCAATATCATTGTATAATTTATCGGTTTCTTTTTTGAAAGAACTTTGTTTTTTTATGTTGATTTTATTTATTTATACAAAAATTTGTTTTTCTTTTTCTTGTTCTTCTAGTATTATTTATTTTGTTTCGTATTTTTTTTTTTTGGTGATGCCAAAATATTGAACAATTGCCAAGGTGTTTTTCTTCGTTTTTTTTTTGAGAACAAAAATATTGGCATTTCGTTTACATGATTTAGCAAAATTTAAAAACAAAGAAGAAAAATATATACAATACAATTTTATTTAGAAGTTATGAAAATGTTATAATATTTGTTGGCAATATTAGGTTTGTTTTTTTTTTTAAATATAAGTTATATTTGGAAATGTCAGTTATTTGTATAAAAAGGACCCATTTAATGCTGTTTTTTATTAACCCTTTATAGTCTTAAGTAAAGAGACTAAAGTTATAACAAGTTTTAGTTTTTTTTTTTTTTTTCAATTTAAATTGATTTATCTCTGTCCCACTGTGACTGGGTCTGTTCTCAAAACTTTTAGCTTTAAAGACGTGTTTCTGCTAATCCATTAATCTGCTCATCCATTAATGTTCCACTGCAGACTTGACAATAAACTAGACTATAGGCTAGACTATAGACTAGGCTATAGGCTAGACTAGACTATAGACTATTGACTAGACTATAGACTAGACTATAGACTAGACTATAGACTAGACTATGGACTAGACTATAGGCTAGACTATACTATAGACTAGACTATAGACTAGACTATAGACTAGACCATTGACTAGACTATAGACTAGACTATTGACTAGACTATAGACTAGACTATAGACTAGACTATAGACTAGACTATAGACTAGACTATAGACTAGACTATAGACTAGACTATAGCCTAGACTTTAGACTAGACTATAGACTAGACTAGACTAGACTATAGACTAGACTATAGACTAGACTATAGACTAGACTATAGACTAGACTATAGACTAGACTTTAGACTAGACTTTAGACAGACTTAGACTAACTATAGACTAGACTATAGACTAGACTATAGACTAGACTATAGACTAGACTATAGACTAGACTATAGACTAGACTATAGACTAGACTATAGACTAGACTATAGACTAGACTATAGACTATACTATAGACTAGACTATAGACTAGACTATAGACTAGACTATAGACTAGACTATAGACTAGACTATAGACTAGACTATAGACTAGACTATAGACTAGACTATAGACTAGACTATAGACTAGACTATAGACTAGACTATAGACTAGACTATAGACTAGACTATAGACTAGACTATAGACTAAGACTATAGACTAGACTATAGACTAGACTATAGACTAGACTATAGACTAGACTATAGACCTAGACTATAGACTAGACTATAGACTGACTATCGACTATACTAGGACTAGATAGACTGACTATAGACTAGACTATAGGACTAGACTATAGACTAGACTATAGACTAGACTATAGACTAGACTATAGACTAGACTATAGACTAGACTATAGACTAGACTATAGACTAGACTATAGACTAGACTATAGACAGACTAAGACTAGACTATAGACTAGACATATGACTAGACTAATAGACCTAGACTATAGACCTAGACTATAGACTAACTAGACTAAACTATAGACTAACTAGACTAGACTATATAGACTAGACTATAGACTAGACTATAGACTAGACCTATAGATGGGGGTAGACTATAGACTAGACTATAGACTAGACTATAGACCTAGACTATAGACTAGACTATAGATACTATAGACTAACTATAGACT